CACAGCGTGGTATTCGTGAACACGCATCACTCGGTGGAACCGGGTCGGCCGATGGGACCAAACGTCCATGAAATCGGAGGCATTCATCTCACCCGGCCACTCGCTCCGATTCCCCCAGTAAGTGTCTCATTGCCCACATAGCTACCACTTTTTATTTCATGATAATTGAATTATTTGATTACTACAGTGTTACTGTGTGCGTACTATAACTATTCGCACTTAATACGCATATTATATCGTATCTATTTTGAATGCGAAATGAAAAATAGCATATACCTAATACCATTTATGTAATGCTGTATTGTTTTGGCGTGTCTTACTCCACAATACCGATACGACAATATATTTTCGTCTGATTTACACCGAAAAATTGTAAGTTGTAAAGCTCAATTTCTAAGTCATTCCAAGTTGGTTCCTCTAATGGAGTTTAGCAATTAAGCTTCAAATTGATAAACTTAAGGAATCAAAAAACTAACTTTTCCTTACTTCCGCCTAATTTTCTGGTACAATAAAATACATTATAATTTTATTTTAAATCGTTTTTCTCAAAGCATTTAGTTKGTTCTAAATATTTTAAACAGTTTATATAATAATTATAATAACCATATAGGTATGCRTATTACGTACTTTTAGACCGCCATCACTATATATCTAAGTTATGTTACCGATAAATAATTTTTCTCCACACCACTTCGGTRGTMAAAATACGTGTTTAAATTTTTAATAAAATTATGTAATATTGAATATTCACATCATCATATTAAGTGACTAGTTACAAGTATTGTTATATATATATATTATATATACCATCATTGTTTGAATCCACTACGTTAGCTTTTCGATTAATTTTTGTATTTTTTTTTGTCTTGCATATGGCAAACATATAAATATAACACGTATTATAAACATTGRATTTATTTTTTAATTGAAAGGAAAGTATCAGAGAAAACAATTAATAACATGAACGTTTCCAGTCTTAAATTTTTTTTAGATTAGCTTCATGGTAGTATYATGAAACTATCTTGAAATGAATTCTAACATTATGATAATTAAATTATAAGTAATTTTTCACTAATTATTTGGTCATATATTGTTTTCCTGAAGGATTTAGTAGATGTAATGGACAAGAGTYATGAATTCGGCGTCATTGTATTTTCTTTGGGTTCTTTGATCTCCATGAAAACACTACCCGRTAATCTATTAGATGCATTTAAAATCGTGTTTAGCCGACTWCCCCAAACGGTTATTTGGAAGTACGAGAACGATCACATGCCCGACAAGCCAGAAAATGTGGTGTTGTGTAAATGGTTACCGCAACGTGCAATATTACGTGAGTTAAATAAATACATTTTAGAGTCATTCATATGCGTAATACGTTGAGTTTATTAAAATTAACAGTAAATAGTACTTTTAATTGAACTTACTTAAAAGTTAATTTAAAATCTAACATA